CTGATGGCTCCAAATAATCCCTTTTCTAGAAAGGGACTAGAAAGCTCATCTTGTAATGCAGTCAGAAATCTGCTTACCTAAGTCACCATCATTTTAAGAGGAACTTCATTACATGTTTGTTACTTGAGAAAGAAAACGCCTATATACAAAGCTTCAGCAACAACAACAAAAAAAGAAAAGCTAGACGCTGGTTTTCATCTGTCCACTCATTTCTGAAGGTCTCCATCATAGCAACATCTGACCATCTATGGATGCCAGCCAGGCCTTCAAAACATCCACAGAACATGCTAGAGTTTCTCTTATTTACTCTTAATGGATATTATTATTTTCTATTACAAATTGTTTCAGACTGGAATTTAACCTCTTCTACATGTTTTTTTTTCCCACCTTCCACTGGTATATATGAACTGTATGAGTATTTGGAGAGTACAGTGGAAGGAAAAGTAGTAGAATAAAATGAATGATGTTTACTTTTCTTTGATTAGATCTAACAGCAAACAGTGTGAATTTGGGTAGACAAAGAAGCCTGTTATTCCATTTTTGGGCGAGATTAACTGCTAAGTAACACTAAAGCTTGCACAATGGTCTAGAAAACTGCTATCAGACTAAAAGAATAATAAAATGTTTTGGACAGAAATCCAAACAATGGTGAATAATGAATATCTAGCAATCTATAATTCTGACAAAGGTTTTTCTTTGAGGCTATGTGTTAGAATTACATGCACATACACATGCTCAAAATACTGCAGTACTCAGCATGATTTATGTACTTGATAAAATGCCTCATAGTAGCACAAAAATAGAATTATACCAGGTGCAAAACAGACATGCTACTTTTAAAAAACTTAAGTAAGCCAACTGGAGTGGGAGCCAATGAGAGCAGATGATCAACATATTTATTTTGAAAGCATCCAGAATGCCTCAACCTTCTTCAGTCACAACTATCTAAACTAAGTCATGGTAGCCCCAGATTCAGCTAATCCCAGTTATGGCTTTGTTATCAGGTGAGAGTAACCGTAATTCTTTTACTCAGGCCAACTTTCTCATTTCTCATGACTGTCATCATTGTTTGTTTTCACTGTCCATGGTCAGATAAAACTGGGATTTCCTAAAGCCATGACCTAAGTTCATATAACCCAACGGCCAAATTAAAACCCAAGGAAGTCCACAAATCCTGAGCCAGTAGCCCCAGGCTCAAGGAACACAAAAAAATAAGCCAGTGACACGAAGAAGCAAGTGGGTACAAAGTCCAGGGGAAGGGAATTTAATTGTGGAGCTGAAGGACAACAATGACTCCTCCTGCCAGTGTAGTGGCATCTTGGAAAGAGGTAGACTGCAACTCTGAATAAAAACTGGGCATTCTTTCTCAATAATTTTTGCTAAGCAAATGAAAACATTTTTGAGTGTTTGGATTAAAATTCTAGATTTTAATGTAAATGTTTGAGAAATAGAAGTCAGGATTGAGAATTTTTAATTTGTCAAAGGAAAGTAATTTTACAAAACAATTTTTTAAGAAATAGTCTGTGTGGCAAGCAAGATCATCAATACAACATAAAAGTATCGTTAGTGGTAGAAAACAGGGGAATGGGATAAGCATATATCCAGTGAGAAATAACGATTTCCCAGACTCTAATTCTAGCATCAGAGGAACAAAGATTCAGCAAAGTAGAAATTCTGCTGATGTAAAGTTATTATTACCTAAAAGCTCCCTAAAAGGGAGAAAGTAAGAAGTGTGTCTGTTAGCTGTAAGAACAATGTATTATTTGGTCAATTTGGTATCTCAGAATTTATGGATGGTGAAAGAATTACCTGATACACAACCTAGGTGTGGAGGTACTTTGTAGTGAACACAAATAACTGCACAGGACAGGATTGAAGAGTCAGGTAGGAAGAGAAAATACAAGAACAAACAAGCAGATCTGGAATCAACAGAGGGAAAGGATCAATCAAAGGTTTATGTGAGCAGATAAAAAAGTCTGGGGACTTGTGATAGGTAGGTGAAGTACAGGAATCAGACAGCAGAGGAGGCGGCTCTCATGGAAGTATCTTAACAATGATACAGTGATTTTACCTTGACAACAGGTTGGGGATGTTGGAAGGGAAGGTTAGGAAACCAGAAACAAATCAGAAGAAGAGAACTTGAAAAATACACATACAGCAAGACCAGCAATGCACAAAGCGAATATTGTTCATAGACTTAGAAAGCAAGCTGTTGATGTGGATTTCAGTTGATGTGTTGTGTTGGCTGTGAGAAAGGTATCAAAATGGAGACCCATTTAATGATGTAGATCTCTCCTGAAACTGTGATAGCATACTTTTGTCGATTAGCATTTTAATGAGTCATAATAAAATATAATATGCGGATGTAATCTGTGCACAAATGCTTGAGGAAATGAAAGACTGACTAACAACCATTGCATAATTTCAGCATGGAGAAGTTATTGCCCAATTCAGATGTCAAAACCATGCAAATAGAGATGCCTTGGTCCTACTAGGTTAATGTTCAATTAGTTCTATTACCATTTCAAACATCAAGGAACACAGGCAATAATATTTCTAATTTTGATATTTAACCTTTATTCCAGTAATTTCTCTTTTGGATGAAATGAAGCCTAGAGGTAAAGCAATCTAATTGAGAATAAGGATCTTCACCTAATTCTGTGTTTAAGCAAGGGTCTTCACATAATAAATCTGGCAATATTTCTCTTAAATCAATATTTCCCGGACAAAAAGGTCTGTTCTGTAGACCTTCAATTCCTGATTTATTGAACATAGCCATTCTCAAATCCTGAGTTCCTTTAGAAAAACAGATAGTAAAACTGAGGATCATTTTTTTCCATTTTTTTTTCAGTAAGAACATGTCAATTTATTGAAACCTCAGTGATGTCTGGATGCTAACCACAGCACACTGATCTCCAGCTGATGTTATGTCAGGCTAGCTCCTAAGACAAACAAATACTTCCTGATTAAAACCCCCGAACTTTTAAATTAATCCTTCCCCCCCGCAATGTTTGATTTGCATGCTTCATCAGAGTAGAAATGGATTTTGAAATCAGTTTTCCATACAGTTGGCAAAGGTTCTTTCTTAAACGACTTTTCTTGCACAATGATATTTAATGTTCCCAAGAATAGCTTGAAGAGAAGAGAATACAAAGTACCAAATCAGGGAACAGATAGTTGGGTAAACAGGGAATTTAAGACAAGGAGCAGTTAAGCACACTCCTCTTAGTTCAGGAGTGAGGCCTTTTCAAGGACAAGGGAAAAACAAAATGTAAAACTCAGATCCGTGACAGTAGGTGTAACATTTTAATAGCTGGCACGCTGCCTGTATCTGATGCACCCGTTCAAATAGGCAGATGCTGGATTGGATAAATGGAAGGGCATGTAAGGACACGGAGTCTAGCTCCTTGATGCATTTATTATCACAGTATCTCACCGACTGCAGAATGTGGGAAGAAAGTTCCCTGGATGTTAAGGGAGGCTTTATACTGACAACCCAAGCTGGAGGCTTTTGCTGTGATTAATGGAAACTAAAGTCAGAGAACAACTGAAACTATTCTATGTTCAACTCAACTACTGTTTATAACATTTACTGGTGCAAAAGCCTCTATCCCCCAACTATCAACTCGAATTTACTCATGTGATTTATATTCTTCAACAGGTAACTTTATACTACCAAATTCTTTATTAGCAGGTATTTTAAAGCTTGCATACTTTCATTGTTATGCAAAAGTCAAATGCTTTTTTTTTTCACTGGGTATGATGGATGGCTTATTGATTAGAGACCCCATGTCTGTTATTTCCATGCTCTATGTCCCCCTCTAGCACCCAGCTGGTGAAGCCTGAGAATCAGTAGACTGATGACAAGAAAGCTTACCATTTTAGAGCAGAAAGATGTCAGGTTTTCCTTCTTGTTTATTATGTTGTAGGGCTGATACTAACTTTTGTTTCACCCAAGCCACTGGGGATACAATTTTTCTTTAAAAAATGGAAGACCCTCTATTTGTCTGCATATGATTCTTCACACAAATTTGTTTGATTGCATTTGAAAAGAAGAGCTGATTTTTAACCAGTGTGTATACTTGTAGTCTTTGATGGTAGCACACCACACATTTTATGTACACATGATGTTATTGTTACTAAAATATTACTCGAGAAAAGCTCTAACCCTATCACCTGGTTTCTAAGGAAAGATGCTCAGATTTGCAGAGCTGCAGAGCACCTGCTTGTGCTGGGGTGAATCACAGTCATGGAGGGTGCGATACCAGTTGCCCAGGTACGAAGAACAGCCTCTTAGAAAGTATATCCTCAAATATCTGTTGCTGCCACGAACAACGTCACAGGTGTCCATGAGTCAGCACTGCAGTCCATCCTATTTTAACGCAGAGATGAAACCGAAAACTTCCACAAGAAAATAACGCAGCATGCAACCGTGGCTGTAATGTGCCCAGGGATCCTCCCGCTGGCTCGCAAAATCACTTAAAAGGAAAGAAAAATGTTTATTTGCCCGTGCAGCCTTGGTTTTTGGTGGTTTGGTGTGGGGTTTGGGTTGGTTTTTTGTTTTTTGGTTGGGTTTTTTTTTTTTCAGTGAGTAATGACTGCTCTCTGCTACTTGATAGCCGAGGCTGGCAGCACTATGGCAACCGGGCTGCAGGAAGGGCGGAGGGGAAAAGTCGCTTAGCAACTGGAAGCTTTAGACAAGCAAGGCTGGTTTAAAGCACAGCAGTTGAAAACAAAACCAACAAAAAACGAAAACCAAACAAAAAACCAACAAAAATACCTCCCAAAACAAACACACAGTTGCTACCATCAAAAAAGAATAGATGACTAAAATATAGATGAGTAGAGTTAATGATTTAGAAGAAAAGGGGGAAAAAAGAAAAGAGGGGAAAAAAAGAGGCATGACAAAGCCAATAAGAAAGGAGATAACAGCTTTTTGGGAAGAAAAAAAAAAAAAAGTAGAGATATTTTGCACTCCTCATCCTAGATGCAGGCTTCATCAATGCGAACAAAAGCCCTAAACCAGCCAAGGCTGTTCCCCGTCAGATCCCAATACTGTTCTGCCAAGTAGAACTCCAGAGGCGTTACCTCCCCGGTCCCCCGAGCTCTGGCCTTGAGTCCGGAGGGGCTTGGCGGGTGCAGCCCCGAGCCCCTGCACAGCCCCTGGGCAAGATTCCCGTGGGCTTCTGGCACCCAGAGCCCGCTGGCAGCGGGCCGCTGCTCCTTGGGGAGGTGGAAGGAATAGCGCCTGCGTAGTCTTGCTCTTGCTCGTTATTATTTATAGCCTTCCTCCAGCATGATAAGGACTCTACGGGCAAGAAAAAAAAAAAACAAAAACAAAAACGAAAGGTTATCCAATACACCAATTCAGAATTTTAGTAATAATTTTCCAGAGATGTTTTTCCAGTGCTCCAGGCACCCTAACACTTCATTAATAATGCAGTAAAATCCCAGCAACATTACATTAATCACGCCGGTGGGAACCCAGCCAGTCAGGCACCTCTTTTTCAGTCCTCCATCCTCAGCCTTCTCTAAGCACTGTCTCAAACAGACGTCTTTCACTGCATGCTTGGAAACTTGCCAAATTTGAGCTATTTTGGACTAACAAAGGGACAATTTCATCCAAAGACACAGAACCCCCACAGAGCTGCTGCCCTCCCCCTCTCCAGTGCAATGGGGGTTGGGTGTTTCTGCTGACCATCGACCAGGCAAGAAAACATGAAAGGAGAGACTACGTTGGTCTAACCTTCCCTTTTAAAGTCTACCTGGAGACCGAAGGGGAGCTAGCTTGCATCTGCAGGTATGAGGAGCTGCAGACTCCTTGCAGAGCGCAGGGTCCAGCAACTGAACTGCAACAATCTGCACATGCCACAGGGTTTGATTTTGGTGTTGGTTTTTTTGATGCAGAGAAACCAGGTTACTGTTGGAAAAGCCTGATCAAGCAAAAATCAAAATAGGCACTGGGAATGTGTCCGTCTGGTCAAATATCAGCATAGTCAAGTCGCAGGCAGGTTGGCAGGCAGATCTGGATGGCATAGGTTTTTTTCCAGCCAAGCAACCCAACCAGCAGCCAGAACGAAGACACTGCCCGAGCTCCCAGCTGCCCCTGCGCCCTGGCCGGGCCCAGCAGCCAGTCCCGTCCTGGCTGCCTGCCTGCTCCCTCCGACCCTGCTGCAGCCAGCTGATGACGGGCGGCCGCAACACCAGCCACAGCCTCACCACCTCCCAGGCTCCAGGGCTCCTGGCTCAACCGGTGGTTTTAGGGCTTACAATGCTACAGGACTTTTGTGTTCGTGTTTACCGGCAGCATTGTGTCCCCAGTAGATAATGCTGACTAAATTGATACTTTACAAAGGCACAAAGGAGTCAGCTTGTGACTGATACACAATACTGGTTAACAAGACACATACAATGGTGGTATTAGTGGGAGGAAAAAAAAGCTCAACTTTCTGTCAGTCATAGGTTCATTAGAAAGTAAAGAGTTGTTAGCAAGCAGAAAAGCTCTTTACATGCATGAAAATGGTACTAATTCAGAAAAAAAAAAAAAAAAAGAAAAGGAAAAATTAATCTTGCTTTAATGCTGGAGGAACTAACTCAAGCTGTCTTCCCTCAAGTAACCTTTCTTAATAGAATTCTGAAATGTGTGTACTAAAAGAACAAGATATATGAAAATCCCATTTTAATTTGTTAAAAATGCCCTCAAAGCATCTTGCATACTCTCTGGCCTGAGATTGATAACGTCAACCTAAAGCTTCTTGAGGAATGTCAGACATTATTGTAACACTAATAACCAATAAACGCTTCTAGAATTATAAGAAATAAGTAATGTGAAAGGTACATTATCTTTTCCTTTTGGCTCCTCTAATGTTTTTATAGAGTTTGGGGAGGTCTCTCAGAGGATGTGAGAAAGTGGTATATAAAATGCTTTAAATCCAGTCACACAGAGAGAAAAGAGGGTAATTGTTGCAGACAGTCTGCAAATTTTTTCTTCAAAAAAAATTCAGTGATTCTAGGGTTTAAAAGTCCAAGAGACATACCAGCATGCCCTAATACCTAGGTGTTTATTTCATCTTTTTTTCTTTTGACAGCTTTGTGCTCATCGGATGAGCTGTCAGAGCCTCCAGCACAGCCTGGGAGTTTTGCTCCTTTATTGTTGTACAGCATTTTTGGCTGTCAAGTTCTACAAACCTTATTGCAGTTCTGTTTGTCTTGGAGCAGAATGGCAAGATGTAACCCACCTCCTTCACATGATCTTACAACTCAAATAGCTGTAGATTTTAACATTGCCCATGGAATAAGGTACCACACTCAGTCTAAGACATAAGAATGTCAATACAACTGTGAATATACAGATTCACTCATTTCTCTACACTCTCACTCAGCCCTCCACTTGAAAAAGTCCCAAAGGTAGAAAAGTCCAGGTATTAAAAACATCAGTGTAAGACATATGAATATTGTGAAGTGCATGGGCACTATCATTTACCGGACTACTGGCTGCCCGTGACACCAATGAGCTACCAGATTAAGCTATATAAGCTGTAAGGGTTAGTTTTGCCTTGCTTTGGATGCCATATATTGCAGCAAACGATGTATGTGTTGGTAAGGACAGGCAAATGAATTAACTTTTTTGTTAAATGGTAACTTTTGGGAAAAGACAGGGATAGGATCTAATTTTAATACAGTTCTTCCCATTTGTTTTCTGTAACAATATTCTAAATTACATATTCCCATAGAGAATAAATAAAAACAAAAATATGGAAAAATGAATGTGATATATGCAAATTAAGATTGTTGTAACAGATGCAAGAACAAGATATAATGACTCAGGCAACTGTTTTCTCTGCTAAATTTTGAGTATTTCACCTTGAAAGTTTAACAGTTTTCACCAGAAATTTCTTGCACCCTGAAAAGCCTGACCATTTTCTGCTTCTATGTTCATGGTCACTTTGTTATTATGATTATCATCGCTGGGAAAGCTTGTGAAGACAAAAGCGTTGTCCTAGTACCATCTAGTGGAGGGAATGCTGGAGAGAGGTTTTAATGAAACGAGAACAAATTATTTGAGGTGGGAGCCAAACTCATCAGGGCAGTGCCAGTTCTTTGGGGAAGAAATATGAAAACCTGAGAAATAGTTGTTTTCAATTTGCACAGAGACTCTTTCAAGGCTTTTTCTCCCTGAGTCCCACAGAGATTAGTAAACTACCTAGGACAGAAATGCCTTTTAATAATACAGACCATCAAGCTTAAGAACATTTTGAATTTTACTCTGTTTTATAAGAAATTTATAGGAAAACCACATGTCAGTGATGCCACCTGTTTCTTATTTGACAGCAACCATCTGGACAGCAAACATTGTAAAGCCAAGAAAGTCATTGCAGTCTGCAAGGCAAGATAGAGAGCTGTAATTTAAATGCCTGAATGTCAACCACAATATGAAGAATTATATGCGGCCCAAGGGAGGGATGTATGAAATGGAGAGCATGCCTATAGCAATAAGCCTTGTATTAGAGGAAACGATTAAATATGTAACGTATGGCCTTGAATGGCCTCCTATTCACCCTCCTTCTGTTTGCAACAACACTAGACAACAGAAAAACTTTCCAGAGATTAAACCAATTTAGAGGGGGAGCAAGCAAGGCAATAGTAGCAAAAACCCAAGCAGACACTCCTCCTGACCTCGTTCTTTCACACCCTCTGGACAACAGTGAAGTAAACAGCTTGTGCCCACAGCTCAAATTCAGCTGACTTTGGGCAGCGTTGGCTTCTAATCTGACTCTCTTCTTCATTAATATTGCTTTTCAGTGTCCCATCAGTCTTGTGTTTACCTTCTCCTCATTTCTTTTTGTCCACCTATTTGGTTCCTAAAGATTAAACTAAAATTAAAAACAAAAAACAGAAAAACCCCAACAAAAACCTGAAAGAGCATTAAGAAAGTCCTGTATCTCATTGTAGCGGTGCAGTGCTCTGCACAAGAATAAAATTCAATAGAGTATAGGGCAGTAAGTCAAAAATAGGGAAAATATTGGAAACATAAGCGTATCATTTGCTTTTGGAAGGTGGAGTACTGAATCAGGCAGAATAGAATAGGGTTGATTTTTAGTGCGGCTTGACTAGCTGGCAATCCTCCCATCTTCAGGTAGTGCTAATTATTAAACTACACAAAGTGTCTCCTGGGGCCACAGAGCATGTCTGGAAATGAGACCCAGGGGATGAAGATCAAGCTTCATTGATGGGCACTAAGTACAAGAGGAGGGCCTCAAGGTAGCAGTGAGGCAACCAACCAACCAACCCTCTATTTGCATTCCCCAAGTTCCTTATAATAGTAGTGGCTACATAGCAGTGATCAAGAGATGAATTACCAGTGACAAAAAGAGGAGGGAATTACTATCAGGCAAGGCCATAGATGTAAATGTAGCATGCATTAAATATGATGGGCATGCTAGGTGCAAGTTATTTTGGAATCAAACCTGAGTACCTGATGGTTTCATCGGGAGATGGAGTAGAAGGTCTTTTCCATGTCATTCTTCCAGATATGGGTATTGCAAGTATGAGAGTGTTATTTCTATGGCTGCTGCTGAGATAGCCCTACCTGACACCTACAGCAGTCCCTCAGAAGACTTTAAGTAGGCCTCCACCTCCTTCAGCACCAAGAGGGAGTGCGCCTTTAGTGGCCAGCTCCACACTGGAGGACCTTGAGGTCCCGAGCCAATATCCCCAGTACTCTTGGTAGTGTGTGGTGATGCTAAAAACGCAGCATGATTATCAAGACCAAAATTCTTGCTGCACATACATCTCGCACCTAAAATGTGTGACTTTCTATTAGAACATTCAGCTAGAACGGTGCCTCTGCAAACCATGCCCAGAGACCTGCTTAGAGAAAAGGTCTAGAGTGTGGATGGCATGTCAACTCCTGAGACCATGAGCCTAGAGGAGATGGCATAGTCATAGGTATCAGTGCTACTAACTGTGCAGCCATGCAATATCCCTAAGGCTTAGTCTGCCAGAGGAGGAGGGTGTTCAAGTAAGCACAGGCAAAGGGAATGGAGGTAAAGAGCAGGAAGAACCCATCTGTCTCTGCCATGTGATGAGTCCCGTGGCACTTCCCTGCTGTGTCTGTAGGCTGCACTGCCAAGTGATTGGAGAGCCTTATGCTATTTCCAGTGTCTTGCTGGGAAAAGGAGAGGACGTTCAAGATCAATAATAGAGCTTTGGCTAGGTTTGCTGAGTGACTGCTGGCATGTGCTGTGCTGCTCACTGGCAAGATCTGGGAATGCTACCAAAAGCCCTCTGCTCCCTGGGAATTGCCTT